GGGGGGGGGGGTTTCTGAGGAAAAACTTTGAACCTTCAAAAATATCTGTTAAACTGCAAGAACTACAAACAGTACAGGATGGAGGACTGTGGCTCTTTAATCAAGAATAAATAAATAATTTAGTTCTAAATTTATAATTTTCTATCATAAACTAACCAGTTTAATGTCAGAGGATATTACAGTTTTTTATTATTTTCTCTCCTTTAGTCTTTAAATCAAGTTTTTAAGGCAAAATTGGCTCCTACCTCGGTTTAACATTGGTCAGTGTGACTTTAATAACCCGAAGCTCAACACTTGGAGACAAATATAGTCCATAGTTTATTTGTTAATTTCCAAAAATGTAAAACTTTGAAAGGAAAATTTCAAAGGTTTTTACAACCGTAATCTCTGTTTCATAATGTTTCTTGCAAATTTAAGACTTTTCTGAGGTTTTTATTGGACATTTGAGTTTTATAACCTCAACAAATACTTCAGTGCTTTCCTAGAAGTGTACTGAGAGACTTTGTTTTTAACCATCAAAGAAGATTAGTTTTTCCATCTCAAATTTAGAAATTCAAACTTTATGACCTAAATACATATTAGTTTATTTTCTTTTAATTTTAATTTGATTTTATTGTATCAAAAGAATTTTTTTTACTAATTTATATTAAAGTTTTGTCCTTCCTGTGATTTTATATTCTTACAGAATATCAATGTAGGTTTTTTTTTTTTTGTTTGCAAATAAACAACAAACCTAGGAAACAATATTAGATTTTCATTTCTTTTTCTTTTTTTGACTTTTTGTCTCAGAGATCAGTCGTATCCAGTGAATTAACAGCTTTAATCTCAGAGCATTTTTGATATTTTTACAAGTTTGATTTCAATAAAATTGCAGTTTTTCTCACATTTATTTTCAACCATCTCAGAAATGTTTGTTTTCCTTAACATTAAAATCTGTAATTTCATAATACCTCAGAATATAAGAGTAGTCCTTACAGATTATGCCTCTCGTTTTAAGAATATTACCGTTTGTTCCCAGAAAGTTGCGACTTTAGCTTCAGACTTTTCCTCTGAGGATAATCGCCCTTCCTCGGCTCCTCTTTTTAAACCTTATGTAATGCCCCCAAACACTTATTTATTCTTTGAATGCAGTTTTACGTCAGTGATTCGTTAATTCTCAGAATTGATTTGATGCCACTTTAATAAATTGCCTGAGCGGGGCTGGAGGAACAGGGATTAAGTACTGTTTTCATTTCATGGGGTGAAAGCGGCGCTGATGCTGTTAACAGGATTTAGTTGGAGTGCAGTTTGATTCACCAGGCTTCTGACGCTGGGCTTCCCTCCCAGATGACGCCAGTGAAGGAACACATCACCGGCTGTCCTGTTTCCTGTGGTTTAACGTTACAGTACTCATACTCATGAGCAGTGCCTGACTGATGGATTAGCTACTTCATATCAGCCGCGTCGGTTTTCCAACCAAACGCGCTTCCTGGTTCTCGTGTACAGTTTTTCTTTGTGTGATTTCAGGGATCAGATTGGTGCAGGTCTCTGTTGCTTTCTCACGGTCACCATGACGATCATGATGATTCAGTGTGTGTGGAAGTTGAATATGAGGAGGACTTGATGCATGATCAAAGCTCTTTAGAGTCGCACAGATCTTCTTTCTCAGTCGCCTGTTCTGTTCATTGAATGTCTCCATTTATGCTTTCTGGACACAGCATTATTCTTTGGGTTTGACTGTTCTTTATTTATGAAGATGTATGTACTGATAATAATAAAAAAAAAAAAACAGAGAGAGAGAGAACTGCTGTGTGGCAAAGCCTTTCAGATTTCATCCACTAGGTTTCCTGTTTGTCCACACTCTGTTCTCAGTTTGTTTTGTAACTGCTGATAAGTTTAGTCCAAACTGAAGTGAAGAACTTTGGATCCAGACAGTTTGGAGTTCCACGTTTTCCTGATCTCAGTAGTTCCAGGACATCGGTGTAAAAATATGAAAAAGCAATAAAGATGGAGTGGATTAAAAAATGTGGGGTTTTTTTTGTTTTTGTTTGCTTGTTTGTTTGTTTTAAATCCTCAAACATTTAGACCAGCGGCTCCTTTTTTGCGCCACGGACCCTTTTATGTCTGACAATATTTTCACGGACTGGCCTTTAAGGTGTCATGGATAAATACAACAAAATAAAATCAGTACTGGCACCAAAAAAAGGATTTCTTCATAACACACGGAGAAAGAGCCAGGGGAACAGAGTTAACGATAAAACTCCTTAAAACCATGAATTTCATACCCGGTACCAAACGACTCACGGACTGGTGGTTGGGGACCACTGATTTAGACAAGTCCAAATTCGAGGGCTTTTCCTCATTCAGATAACAAACTGCAATTCAGTAATAGGGGCATTTTGTCTGCCCAAGAAAAAGAAGCTTGCCTTATATGTGACATTAGCAGCTCCTTACAAATCTATTATAACAAATTATTTTTTTATTTAAAAAGAAAATAACTCAGCATTAAATCACCTTTATCAGAGGACTGAAATTCAAACAAACAAAAATATTTTACACAGTCAAAAACGGCTGTGATTGTACCACCTTCAAATACAGTAATGTAAAGTTTGTATGTCTGTACCTTCAGATTTAAATAATGATCACTGGCTAAAACTTCCTGTATTCCTGATGCAGCCCTCCCCATTTCTCCAGGCTTGGGATCCAGTGCTAAGAGTATATGTGCACACTTCTTAAATATTTACCTTTTGCAAGTTAAAAAACTCTGCATTCTATATGTATTTGATGTCAACCTGAAATATACAGGCAGACATTTCAGTCTTCACCTGCTTTCAACTAAATCAGTGCTTCCCAAACTCTTTTTGCTAGGCCCCTCTTTGTTTTACAAGAAAAATGCTCGCCCCC